TTATCTCTTATGGTGGTTTTTGCCTTAAAGTTTATTTTATCAGAGATTAGTATTGCCACTCCTGCTTGTTTTTTATTGCTGTTAGCTTGGTATATTTTTTTCCACCTTTTAACTTTTAGTCTGTTTTTGTCTGTGTGTGTAAGGTGTGTCTCTTGCAGGCAGTATATTGAAGTGTCTTGTTTTCATTCAGTCACTGTGTGTCTCTTCACTAGTACATTTAATCCATTGACATTCAGTGTAATCATCAATAGATTTGGATTAGCTCACTAATGCCTAAGATATCAATGTTTATGTGTTCCATTTAATTTTGACAATTTCTAATTTTCCTAGATGTGTTCCATTTCATTTTTGACAATTTCTAATTTTCCTAGATTCATACTTTGTATATCCAATGTTCCAATTATTAATGGATGTTTACAGCTGTTTCTCTTCATTTTCAGCTGTGTCCCATCAGCAAATAAAGGTACCGAGGGTTTTACTCTCAGGGGCTTTATTCCATTCGCGTCATCACAGTCAACTCTACTTTGAGGAGGCAGCTCTTCCCCAGTAGCATTTTGAATGCCTTCCAACCTGAGGGGCTCATTTTCTGGCACTATATCTGACAATTTTTCTCTGCTATTTATAAGGTTTTCGGTGACTAAATATTAGGAAGTAGTTTGTCACTCCTTCTTCCTAGTCTGTCCTCGTCTGGAAGCTCATCTGAAACCTGTCCACCATGGGTGATCCTGCTGGTATTTAAAATACCAGCAGCATAGCTTCCAGAATCACGGCAAGTCACAAGCCACCAGAGTACAACAAACTGAAAGCTTTGGCCACTTTCTGGTTATAAAAACAAGGGACTTGGTCAGCAAGTGTTAGTATTAGACAGCAGCCTCACTATTAGAACTTGCCACAGAGTTACTTAACACTAGACAAAGAGAGAAGTTTCCATTGGATTCTTGGCCTATGGTTTCTGATTTAGAACAAGCTCTATGAACTGTGATCAGCAGTGTTTTCAGAAGTCACTATATTATAAAGGGGAAAACACTGGACTAGGAGTTAAGAGATGTGGGTTCCTGTTCTGATTTTGCCACTGTATAAATAGTTTTGTAACCACTGCAAGTCATTTAACTTCTCTGAACTCTCTCTTCTGTAAAGCTAGGGAAGGAAATGAATTAGTTGATCTGTAAAATATCTGTAATATTGTATTACTGGGGCCCTGGTGTGGTGCTCTAGTTTAAGTACTGGACTGTTACCTGCCAAGGTTGGTGGTTCAAACTCAACAGCAGTTCCTTGGAAACCTTATACAGGGTTGCTTTGCATTGGAACTGATTTGCTGACACTTAACAACAATTTTATAACTAACTTCAGAATATATGCCTCTTGCCTAACAGATTATTGTGCCCATAATTTGTTGTAGTGACTGCTTCAACATATAGGCCTACTGTTCCCTACACCAACACCCAAGCCATTCATCTGAAGTGCCATGAGAATAAATGATGAACACAGGCTAACATCATTTAGGCTTTTGTTTTTTTGCCTCAATTTAATCTGTTAAATAGATTTTTTCTTAGATATCTATTTATTGTATGGAAGGGCTATTTTGGTGAATTTTGGAGCAAAGATCCTTAGCTTCTGTAGGGTACAAAATAATGGAGTATATCTTTCCTTTCTTTGTCAGTCTCTGAGGGTACAGCTTACAATTACATACATCAGCTACCGAAAAGGTCCAAAATTCCAAGCATCTGATTTAGCAGATTTAGCTGCTTAAAGACTGCCCCTTTTCTTTTTTTCTTGGTTGATTAAAGAATTTTAGTCCATTTTGGGGAGTGTGATCTGCTTCTGATATAAGAAAGTGCTTTTTACAGTTCAAATCATTTTCATTAAACTGTTTGATTAAAGAACATACCTGGACTTTTTCCCCCTCTGATTTTTAATAATTTTGATCCTTTTATCAGCAGCTATTTAGTGATAGTTAAATTAGTTCATATTCAGCAAACAACTACTGAGATTCTCCTACATGTCAGACACTGTACTAAGTAAACATGCATATAATATCTTTATTCCTGCTATTCTCCAGCCAAGTGAAACAAGAAGAACAAGAGTTCCATCCTTCAAGGAGCTGATCACCCTAGTAGGGGAGATGAGATGAAACTATTGCACATGCCATCAATTTCAGCTCCTGCCACATCTTAGCTTCCTTTCCTTTTCATCCTAAATGATGAAACTAAGAAAGCAGATTTCTACCCTGAAATCAGTAAGGAAAAGAAAGTTTAAAAGGGGATCTTTGTTAAAGGGAAATACTACCTTATTGAGAAGGATAATATTTAGAATGCCTTGCTATGGAGTTGGTGTGCTTTCAGATTCTTGGACTATATGAGCAAACATTTAAAAATCATCAAGCTAAAAGTCATGAGGTCCTCAGAGCACTTATTGGCTTAGAGTGTCTTTTATTTAGGCAGTTACTAGTTTAAAAGTACCTTTAATAACACTGAGATCATCATCATCAAATTGCCACCCAACAAGCCTAGCTTCTTGCAAAAAAGTCAGCTTTGATAACACATGGCTAAGTTTTCTGACTAATGCTGCATCGGGTAAAAATCCTTCAGTGCTGAAGTCGAAAAACACTAACTGTTGAAGATTCTCAAATACGCCCATGAAATCAAGCCATCCATCACTGCTCACACAATTTCCTCCCAAATCCAACTGCTGGAAGTTTTTCAGAGGGTTCGTCTCAAAAAATGCACCTGAATAAAGAAAAAAGTTAGTTGAAAATAAGACCGTTTTTAAAGAGAAAAGGGTTCTGGTGTTTATTACATCTCTCTGTATAATAGTCCTGGTGTGCTGCTGTGGGTTAATGCGCTGGACTGCAAATCCGGTTTAACTCCTATGGTCTGCAGTTCAAGCTCACTAACCATTCCTTGGAAACCCTATACAGGGTCACTATGAGTCGGAACTGACTCAACACACTTAACAGCAACAACAAGATAATGTCTGACCATCCTTTGACTGCTCTTATTTTGTTGCAGAGTGAGGTAGACTGTTTATTGCTTCCCCAAATTTGTCTCTTCTTATTCCATAGTCATAGAATTTTAGTTGGCATATGACCACTCAGAAACTTAATAACCCAGCCTCCTGTAGCTAGATGCAGCTAAAATTTTGCCGGAAAATTTTGGCACAAGTGATGTGTGCAACTTCCATATCACTCTGAAAAAAATAATTGTCCTCCACTTCTACTAGGTTCCAATGCTTACACAGTAGTGACCAAACTATGACATGAAGACAAGGATAACAGCTATGGAATGGAGGGGTAAAAGGGAAGTAGGTTTTCAGATCTGTGAAAGACGACACAGAGCAAAGCCACCCTGCCTTCCTAGCCTGCTCACTTCTGGATCGTTGTCTGAGGCATAAACAAAGTTCTATTTTCTATAAGCCGTGTATAGCTGGGTCTATGCTAGACCACCTTGTTTTTGTTAAGTGCTGTCGAATCAGTTCTAACCCATAGTGACCCTGTATAGGGTTTCCAAGGAGTGCCTGGTGAGCTTGAACCGCCGACCTTGCAGTTCAAATGACTTTGCAGTCTAGCGCTTTAACCCACAGCACCACACCAGGACTCCATTATACCAACTTGGTCTTAATTAATTCATTATTTGCTGTTGTTAAGGGTTGTTGGGTCAATTTGCTCTCATAGAGACCCTGCATAGGGTTTCCAAGGCTGTAAATATTCATCAGAGCTTAAAGCCTCATCTTTCTCCTGAGGAGTGGCTGGTGGACTTGAACCGCAGACCTTGTAGTTAGCAGTCCAGTGCATACCTTACAGAGTCACAGCACCCCTACTAATTCATAGAGCCTCCATTTTTCCTCCCTTACTTCTTCCCATTATTGTTTTTAAGTGCTGTGGAGTCAGTTTCGACTCATAGTGACGCTGTCTAGGGTTTCCAAAGAGCAGCTGATGGGTTTGAATCACCAATCTTGTGGTTAGCACTCTAGTGCTTATTCCATAGTGCCACATCAGGACTCCTTGCCATTGTTGTTAAGTGTCATCGAGTGGGTTCTGACTCGTAGTGACCCTAAATAGGGTTTCCAAGAAGTGACTGGTGGGTTTGAACCACTGACCTTGTGTTTAGCAGTCCAGTGCTTATCCTTTAGCTGTTATACCTATGACTATAACCCCTCGGGGGAATTGGGTTTCTTTGTTATGTTAATACGGTCGTATCAGTGTAGGGTGTGTCCTTGATATATATATTTTAAAAGACAGATTGGGCACAGGAACAAATAAGCATAGATGGGGAAAATAGTTACATGCTCTATGAAGATCTTGAAAATCATTGTGATCATCATTAAGGAACTGAGGAGCAAAAATGGAAAAGAAATAAGGACCCAGAACCAACAGAGACAGAAAGCCTTCCCTTTGAGCTAGCACTCTGGCCTCCGAAACTGTGAGAAAATTAATCTATGTTCGTTAAGGCCATCCACTTGTGATATTTCTGTTATAGCAGTACTACAGAATCTAAGGTAATCACCTAAAAGGAACAAAATCAAGAAGAATTTAAAGCCAGTCCCACCCTCAGAGGCTGAGCTATTTAAGGTAGAAGTCCCTTCACACCACCAACTTAATAAGAGAGCTTCTCAGACAGTTGTCAGAATATGTGCAATGAGCAGCAATAATGGAAATGAGCAACATTTTCTATAACCCAAGGTTATGCATTTTGTTCCTTTAACCTGCCCAGTTCTTATCACTATGAGTACAGACTCGATCTGAGAAAGAATCCATGGTAGAGAATGCAAATAACTTCATCCAAATTACAGGCAACTTCTCAAGTATTCTGGATAAAAGGATTGTGATACTTGAAGGGTCCAGCATCCTAAACAAACTATTATTGCAGACATTTCTCAGTTCAGTAGAGCCAGAACATTCATCCATTCAGCAAACCTTTTTAGCTTCTACCATGTATCAGAGCCACCACTCGTCTGTCAGTTTGTCGTACTGTGGTGGCTGTGAGTCACTGTGATTCTGGAAGCTATGCCATGGATATTTAAAATACCAGAAGGGTCAACTACGGTGGACAGGTATCAGATTAGCTTCCAGATGAAGACAGACTAGGAAGAAGTAGATGAACTACTTTAGAATATTTAGTCACTGAAAACCTTATGAATAGCAGAGAAACACTGTCAGATATAGTGCCAGAAAATGAGCACCTCAGGTTGGAAGGCACTCAGAATGCTACTGGGGAAGAGCAGCTTCCTCAGAGTAGAGTTGACCATGATAATGCAAATAGAGTAAAGCCTAGGGTGGTAAAGCCCTAGGGACCTTCATTTGCTGATGGAGCACAAGTCAAAATGAAGAGAAACAGCAGTAAACATCCATTAATAATCAGAACATGGAATTTAGGAAGGAAATGAATCTAGGAAAGTTGAAAATTGTCAAAAGTGAAATGGAATGCATAAATATCTATATCTTAGTGAGCTGAAATGGACTAGTAGTGGCCATTTTGAATCTGACATGGTTTACTTTGCCAAGAATGACAAATTGAAGAGGAATGGTGTTGCATTCATTGTCAAAAAGAACATATCAAGATATGTCATGATGTACAATGCTGTCTAGGATAGGATAAGATAATATCCATGCGCCTAAAGGGACAACCAGTTAATACCACTATTATTCAAATTTACCCACCAACCACTAAAGCCAGTGAGGTTGAAATATAAGAATTCTACCAATGTCTTCAATCTGAAATTGATCAGACATGCAATCAAGATGTATTGATCATTACTGGTGATTGGAATGCAAAGGTTGGAAACAAATAGGAAGGATCAGTAGTTGGAATATATGGCCTTAGTGATAGAAATGATGCTGGAGATCACATGAAAGAATTCTGCAAAACCAATGATTTGTTCATTTCAAATATCGTTTTAAGCCAATAAAAGAGACAACTATACACATAGACCTCATCAGATGGAATACAAAGAAATCAAATTGACTACATCTGTAGAAAGAGAATGTGGAAAAGTCATTTATCAGTCAAAACAAGGCTAGGGCAGATTGTGGAACAGAGTATGAATTGTTCATATGCAAATTCATACTGAACCTGAAAATTAAAACAAAAATATGACCTTGAATAGATCCCACCTGAATTTAGAGATCATCTAAAGAACAGATTTGATACATTAGACACTAAAAACCAAAGAGCAGAAGAGTTGTGGGATGACATCAAGAACATCATACAGGAAGAAAGCAAAAAGTCATTAAGAAGATAAGAAAGAAGGAAAAAATCAAAATAGATGTCAGAAGGGACTCTGAAATTTGCTCTCCAGTATACAGATGCTAAAGCAAATTGAAGAAATGAGGAGGTACAAGAGCTGAACAAAAAATTTCAAAGGTCAGCTCAAGAAGATAAAGTCAAATATTACAATGAAATGTGCAAAGATCTGGAATTAGAAAACCAAAAGGGAAGAACATGATCAGCATTTCTCAAGTTGAGGGAACTGAAGAAAAATTCAAGCCTCCACTTTCATTATTGAAGGATTCTCTGGGCAAAGTATTGAATGATGCAGAAA